GTGAGTCCCGATCGGTCCATTTTGTCCCCGCCGAGTCTCTCTTCCTCAATCTCTCTCCAGATACATTTCAAATCCCCGATCTTTTCATCCTCTTTAATGACTTTCCTTTATAATCCCCATGGTGGATTATCAGTGTGTTGCCATGGGAACCAACGCTCATCATCGCACCTGGCGCTGATTCTTCCCTGGGTTTCGGGTCGAGGGATGTTTGTCCTGCAGAAACTGATTAAACCAGTTATTTCATTCAGATCTGTTCAAATTCCTCTGGTTAGATGTGAAACTGTAGAGCTGGTTGGATTTTTAAACTCTGATCTGCAAGAGAAATTCTTCTTTTAGCAGCCAAACGTCCCCAATGTAGATTCAGACAGTCGTTTTTAATCAATACTTTTTATTAAAATGGTGATAACTTCAGTTTCAGAAAGCACATTCCCTGGAGCCGAGTTAATGTGCTAAAGCAAAGACGGAAACAAGTTTGATGAAGCAAACGGCGCCATCCACTGGTGGGTCTGTGCCTTACCAGAGGCATGACTCTCCAAGATGGAAGAACTGTGGACAGAGTTACGCTTCATTCACATTTTCTTTTTATCTTTTTGCAACATTTTAAACGCTCACTCAGCTTCTGCATGTTGATGAGACGGACGTTTGCTGATTCTGCTGTTTGGGATGAGTGCTACTGTGTTAGCACCGGCTCTGTGGGAACAGCATCTCTTCATATAACGGGTCACACAGTTTAAAACTGACTGGCGTTTACATTGTGTCATCACACATCAAGCAGGTGAATATGTGCAACTTTGTCTCCGCAGGGACAAAAAAGACAGACTGTGGCGCCATTGACTACATAAAAACAATTAAACGAAATGATTGTTCTACAATTCTGAAAATAAAATAAAACAGCTCAAGGTTTTGATGTTGTTCTGGAGGTTGAATCCGTCCTGGAAACTGGAAACTGGAGTTAGAAACTGGAGTTAGAAACTGGACTTAGAAACTCCATCTCAGCCAAAGTTTTGAAAACAGGGAACATTTCCCCAGTTGAAGTGATCAGAAGTCGGATTCCTGATCCTTAAGCACGAAATCGTTTCATACAGTTGGAGAAACATTCATAAAGACATCACTATGAGCAGATTATGAGCCTTTAGTATCCCATAATAATCCAGCAGCATCACTGGCTGCTAATCAGGCTCATCCTTTCACAATAAAACATTCAGCAGTTTTCACACCAACTTTCTTTCACTTTTCATTACAAGAGACTGAAAGTGGGACTAAGAGACTCAGACCACGAGTCCAAGTTAAACTCAGGAAACGATCAGCTGGTCGGTTCAGGTTAACTCCTGGTCCTGGATCAGAACCCAGCGCCGCTGACCTGGTTCTGGTGCCACAGAGACGCTTCAGGGATTAGAGAAAATGAGAAAAGAAGAACAAACAAATAAATAAAAGTTACTCCCTCCCTGAGCCTGAGGGGCGGAGTAATCTAATCTGAAGATGTAATCCTGCCATTGTTGACCTCATCATCAGCAGCGACCCGATAAAAGTGGAACACGACCAAAACCTCCCAACAGCTGTTGGAGCGCCGCGACCCGACCAGAACCTGCTGCCTTCATTTCACACCAAATTCATTTCCCTCCATCACCTCTATCACCTCCACCCTCCATCACCTCCACCCTCCATCACCTCCACCCTCCATCACCTCCACCCTCCATCACCTCCACCCTCCATCACCTCCATCACCTCCATCACCTCCACCCTCCATCACCTCCATCACCTCCATCACCTCCACCCTCCATCACCTCCATCACCTCCACCCTCCATCACCTCCACCCTCCATCACCTCCACCCTCCATCACCTCCATCACCTCCACCCTCCATCACCTCCATCACCTCCACCCATCATCATTGTCGTCCTGCCCGGTCTTTCCAGAACTGTCTGGAAAACATAAATATTGTCATATTTATGTTTCGACCTTCATTCATCCTGCTTCATATTTACTGAAACATCCATCTGCAGGCATCAAGAGTAAAGTTAATATCAAACTAACATTATGAGAAAAATTGTTTCTCTCTTCATTAATCAGCAGTGATTTATGTTCAAATGAGAAAAATCACAATTTATAAAAATGATTTGAGATGGAAAATTAGGTATTGATAACAAAAACAGAAAGTTTTACAAAGGCCTAGTCAAAGTCCCGACCTAAAGCTGATTGAAATGTTGTGGTGGGAGGATCAAAGGTCCAAATGTCTGCAAAACTTCAGGTTCATTTCTGAATCGTCTGTTTTAGTTGCTCTTGGATAAAATAAGATGTTTAACCAGTAAAGTAGAAACCGTTCATTTCTGCTGTCAGGCTGAATTATTTACAGCAGCAGGTCTGACCAGAACCCAAACCCAGAACCCAGAACCCAAAACCCAGAACCCAAAACCCAGAACCCAGAACCCAAAACCCAGAACCCAGAACCCAAAACCCAGAACCCAAACCCAGAACCCAGAACCCAAAACCCAGAACCCAAAACCCAGAACCCAGAACCCAAAACCCAGAACCCAAAACCCAGAACCCAGAACCCAGACCCAAAACCCAGAACCCAGAACCAAAACCCAGAACCCAGAACCCAAAACCCAGAACCCAAAACCCAGAACCCAGAACCCAGAACCCAGAACCCAAAACCCAGAACCCAGAACCCAGAACCCAGAACCCAGAACCCAGAACCAAAACCCAGAACCCAAACCCAGAACCCAAAACCCAGAACCCAGAACCCAGAACCCAAAACCCAGAACCCAGAACCCAGAACCCAAACCCAGAACCCAGAACCCAAAACCCAGAACCCAGAACTAAAACCCAGAACCCAAACCCAGAACCCAAAACCCAGAACCCAGAACCCAAACCCAGAACCCAAACCCAGACCTGCGTTTGCTCTGGCATGAGGCTCGGTGAAGCAGTGAGGCTCGGTGAAGCAGTGAGGAACAGTCAGCCGGTGTTTTATCGCCTCATTAAGCCGGTTATGAGTTCATCTGTCAGCGACTTCATCTGTTCGCTGTCATTTATCGTCATCCAGAGAGCAGAACAATAAAGTCCGGTTTGAACTCGGCCGTTATCTCACCTGTGGGATCGTTGTCCAAGTGAGTTCCTGTTCTCTGCCAGCGGCTTCACATGCACCAACATGAGCCTGATTATATTCTGTATTCCTGCATAGAAACATGAAAATGGGATCAATTTGGTCCTGAGGAAACTTCAGATGCAGCTGAAGGTTTTATCTCCAGTTCAGCTTTTTTCAGACTCACCTTTAAAAACCCAACAACACAAACCTGAGCAGAACGAACCAAACAGAGCGAACTCCTGCTGCGTCTCCATGTTCTGCTGCAGATTACCGTCACTGAAGACAACAGCAGATAATCTCCGCAGCTGCCAGGATCCCGGGTCATGGAGAAACGATAAAACCCGACAAATGAAAACCTGCAGCACGACGCTGCCAGAGCGTCTCAGACGGGTTTGGGTTCGGTTCAGCAGCTCCTCTGATGTGACTGCAGATTTCTGCTGGTCCTCTCCTCCATCCACTGGAAGCTGGAGTTAGGATGACCAGACCCCACTGCCACGCTGCGATAATCCCACTGCATCATCCCAACACACACAGATCAGAGAACAAACCCGACTCAGCAGCTTCCGGTTTTCTGTAGGATTTATGTTCAAGCTGATGGATTGTTTCTGTTTTTCTGAGCTGAAGAGAAAAACGACTTCCTGAAACTCCTGAGCTGTAGGTGGCGCAGGATAATCTAGATCCAGATCCATGTTCCTGATCTGGATTCTGATCCAGATTCATGTTCCTGATCCAGATCCAGATCCTGATCTGGATCCATGTTTGATTTGGATTCTGATCCAGATTCATGTTCCTGATCCAGATCCAGATCCTGATCCGGATCCATGTTCCTGATCCAGATTCATGTTCCTGATCCAGATCCAGATCCTGGTCCAGATCCTGATCTGGATTCATGTTCCTGATCCATGTTCCTGATCCGGATCCAGATCCAGATCCAGATCCAGATCCTGGTCCGGATCCTGATCCAGATACATGTTCCAGATCCAGATCCTGATCCGGATCCATGTTCCTGATCCGGATCCAGATCCTGATCCAGATCCATGTTCCAGATCCAGATCCAGTTCCTGATCCGGATCCATGTTCCTGATCCGGATCCAGATCCAGATCCTGCTCCGGATCCATGTTCCTGATCCGGATCCAGATCCAGTTCCTGATCCGGATCCGGATCCAGATCCAGATCCTGATCCATATTTTTGATCCGGATTCTGATCCAGATCCATGTTCCTGATCCGGATTCTAATCCTGATCCTGATCTGGATTCTGATCCGGATCCTGATCCAGATCCATGTTCCTGGTCTGGATTCTGATCCACATCCATGTTCCTGATCCGGATTCTAATCCTGATCTTGATCTGGATTCTGATCCGGATCCTGATCCAGATCCATGTTCCTGCATCAGGGTTTGTTTATCCAGATTCCAGGAAATAAAGATTTATTCCTGTAAAAATTAAACAGAAATAAAACCTTCAGCTGAAATGGCATTTAAAGATTTGGTTTCATATTTTGGTTCCATCAGAAGGATCCAGGTTGGATCCATTTAACAGGAATCCTGAGACGGTTTTGTTGTTAAATTGGAAAAGGACAGAAGGTCTGAGCTGCGCTGCTCAGGTGTCGTATTCAGACAGTCAGAAGATCCTGCAAACAGCAGATGAAGACGGTTTAGAATCCGACAGCTTGCAGTTTGTCCAACAGCCTGATGACTTTTAGACTTTTTCTCATCTTCTAGAAGCCAAACTTCTCTTTAATATCTTTAGGTTCTGCAGAACCAGCAGCTCTGAACTGGAACAACTGGAACATTTCCAGTTAAATCATTTGTAGAAACCTTGTTTCCTCCTGATTCCCTCTCATTCTGGATCATTCCTGTTTCTGAACACATGAACAACCTGAACCATCTGGGCGTTTCTCATCAAATTCCACCTG